GAGACCCGGAAGAGGCTTCTGGCTTCGGACCAGCATAGCATCGGCTGTTGCACTCACTTGGGGAGTGAATCATCGGACGGAAGATCTTCCTCTCTGTCTCTTCTCTCTGTATATCCGCCTTTCCAATAAAAAAATAATAATAATAAATAAATATTTAAAGAAAACATTATTTTAAAAATTTGTCAGTAGCATTCATTATAGAAACCTTAGACACCTGACATATGTTTAAGAGTCTACACTCAGGGATTAATGTGGTGGCATCCCATTTGGGCGCCATTTGAGTCTTGGCTGCTCCACTTCTGATCCAGCTCCCTGATAAAGTACCTGGGAAAGCAGCAGATGATGTCTCAGGTGCTTGGGCCCCTGTACCCTCAAGGGAACCTGAGAGAAACTCCTGGCTTCTGGCTCTAGCCTTGCCACTTGGGGAGTGAACCAGTGGATGGAAGATTGATATCTCTTTATAACCCTCCCTCTCCACCTAAAACTGTGCCTTTCAAATAAATAAAATAAATCTCAAAAAAAAAAAAAAAACAAACCCTGCACTCTGCCAAGCATATTACTTAGTGTTGGGATACTAGGAAAAGTGTCATTATAATTTTATTCAAGAAGAATCCAGTGTAGGAGAGAGACATGTAACTAAAAATTCACCATCGCTTCCTCTATGTCTTGAGTCCTCTCCGCCAATTAGAGTCTGTACTTTATTACTTACATTATCCTTGTGAATATGTCCTCAACAAACTTGTTCATCTCTCCCTCCATTGTAGTCCGCTAACTAGATTTCAACACTTGTTAAACTAATATATTCCTTCATATATTCCTTGCCTTGCTTGAACAGCTGACTGTGGAGAAAAATCACAGCTGTTCTCACTGTCACGTTAAATTAGTGACTACTAGCTTTAAATGGACCCTTAGTATTGCTGGGCTTAGCTTCAGTGTTTACACAGTCCATTTATCCTCACTTTCTTAGATGACAGTTTCACATGTTCTTTTTTTTTTCCTGCAAATTAACAATCCTTCTTGCCTCTTTTCTATAGAACTTGTTCTTCACTGAAAATACGGAAATAGAACTTCCTCATTCTATAGCTATTAATGTATTTCTACATTAATGGGAAGACTGTATCTTTTCTCTTGTTCCAGTGAATGAATCTTTATGTCCCTGACCTGGGTTTACATCTCAAATTATTTGTGGATCCCATTCTATCTTTCTAATCCAGTGAGGGACATTACTTATGGAATTGTTTTGTCCTCTTGTATGGATCAGTAATTTGGGAGATGGGGTTTATGGTGTGGTAGATGAACCTACTACTTGGAATCCTGCACCGTAATGCTTGATTCATGCCTTGTCTGCTGTGCAGCCAGCATTCCTGCTAGTCTAAATGAGCTGGCCATTATGTTGCCTGTGTGCGTCTGTGCATGCTGTCTACTGCACAGGCCGGGTCTGTGGTGGGTGGGTAGGCTGCACTGCAGCATCCATTACTTTGTGTGAGATACGGGGCTGGGACGGAACTGCCCAGGCAGCTGCATACAGTGGTATGTGCATTAGCTGATGCAGGTGACAGATCAGACCTGACCCTGCACTGGCCAGTGGACACAAGTATCAAGTCTAAGGTCACCCCAGGAGAAGTTTCTTGGGGAACTCTCCAACTAGATCTCTGGGTTTACACCCTGACCACAGGGAAAATCACAGGATGTGTAGTCTGGCTCTGGAGTGCATGATTCATACTGTTTTTTCCCTAAAGATTTATTTGTTTCTATTGAAAAGGCAAATTTATGGAAAGCAGGAGAGACATCTTCTAAGCACTGGTTCACTTCACAAGTGGTTGCAATGGCCAGAGCTAAGCCGATCCGAAGTCAGGAGGCAGGAGCTTCTTCTGGGTCTCTCATATGGGTGCAGGGTCCCAAGGCTTTGGGCCATCTTCCTCTGCCTTCCCAGGCCACAAGCAGGGAGTTGGCTGGGAAGTGGAGCAACTAGGACACAAACCGGTGCTCAAATGGATCCTGACACGAAGGAAGAGGATTAGCCAATAGAGCCCTTGCAGCAGGCCTGAGGAATATCATTTTTAGATTGCCTTCTTCATGTCTGTATGTGACAGTTTAATTCTTCTATTTGTCTTAGGCAAAATCTTTGAGGGCTAGGTGTCTGGTGCTACAGTTAAGCTGTAACTTAGGACTTTGCTGTTCACATGGGAGTGTGCCTTCATTCCATCTTCCTGTCAATGTGCATCTTGGGAAGCAGCAGATAATGACTCAAATAGTGGATCCCTGCCATCTGTGAGAAAGTTCCAGACTGAGTTCTGACATCTTTGCTTCAGCCTAGGCCCTCTCTGGTTGTTACAGGTATTTGGGAGAGTGAATGAGTAATACAAGATTTGCTTTTTCTCTTCTCTCTCTGCCTTTCAGGTTAAGATGAAAATAAATTTAAAAATTCTTTAAAAGCCTTTTGAAACTATACTACTCTTGTCTTTCTTTCATACCCATATCCAAGCTATGAGCAAATCCAGTCAGCGGTCTGCAAGCTATATTGAGTCTTTGCTATTTCTCATTATCTCTATTGTTACTATCCTCACCTATGCTACCATCATCTCTTATCTAAATTATTGTAGTAGTCTCCCAACTATTTCTCTGCTTCTGCCTGCTTTCAGTAGTCTCTTCAATATAGCAGGTATAGTGAGCTTTTGAAGCCACAAAATTAAGTTATATTAGAATGTTTTGTTCAAAACCCTATTGTATTTCCCCACCTCCCTGCCCAGTTTCTCACAGGCTGTTACATGGCCCAGGTTCCTTACATCCTCCTCCTGTCTTCTACTGTCCCCTTTGACCATTCATCTCCCAGATCACCAGCATCCTTACTATTTCTAGAACATACCAAGCATGCCTCTACTTCAGATGCTGTGTCCTTGCTGTTCTCTCTACCTGGACAAAAATTCCCCTCAGTTACTTGGTAGGGTAGCTCCCCTTTTTTAAGGATTCTGCTCGAGTCAACAGAAACTTAAGGTTTCCCCTGAGCAGCATATACAAAGCCAGAACTCTTTCTTCCCTTGACTCTTTGTTTTTAAAAGTACTTGTTTACATATTTAATTTACTGGAAAAGCAAGGGGTGGGAGAGACAAGAAGTGTCCACAGTGCCTCGTACTTAGTATGGTTCCTGGCACCCATTACATACTCATCATCTTTTATGAGATGATTGAATGTCTTTATAAAAGAATAGCTTGCATCTGTTATGTGTGTGCATGTACACACTCCTGTTACTGAGGTACTGTGTATGATTATGTGGTCTTTGTAATATATGTTTCATAGGAATAATTATTCGTCTGAATGCTTCCTTTTTGGGAATGAATCTTCCAGCCTAGTAGTTAAGATGCTTACATTCCACATTGGGGTGCTTGAATCTGATTCCTGGCTCTGGCTCCTAACTCTAGCTTTCTGCCAGTGTAGACCCCGAGAGGAAGCAGTGATGGCTTGAGTAGTTGGGGGTTAAGTTGCGAAACCTGGGTTGTGTTCATGACTCTTGGTCCGCTGCCTGGCCCTGGCCCAGATCTGACTGTAGTGGGCATTTGGGGATTGTAGCAGCATATGCAGTCTCTCTCTCTGTCTCTCTCTCTCTCTCTACCTCTGTAATAAAAGCAAGTAAATATTGACCTAAGCGTTGTTTAATTTAAATCAATTCATGAGTTCAAACATGTTGTGTTTGACCTTTCACAAATCCCAGTGCCTCATTTATTATGTACATAATATAACAAAAAGACATATGGAACTCTTTTTCCTCTTAGTATGCTACTGTAAGAAGAGTTGAATAGGGATGACACAATATTTTACTATAAAGTAATAACTTTTCAGCTTATGCCTTATGGGAGCTGCAAAACATTGCTATTTTGTTTATTTAAAGATTTGTTTTGATTTAATGGAAAGACAGAGTTAGAGACCTGGGATTGATACAGAATGAGACATCTTCCAGCCAGGCCAAAGCCAAGAGCCTGGGTAGGACTTCATCCTCATGGGTGGAGGGGGCCCAAGCACTTGAGCTATCATTTGCTGCTTTTCCAAGATTTGTTAGCAGGAAGCTGGATCAAGGGCAGAGTATCTGGGGCTCTGACTGATCATCTCTTATGGGGTGTGGATGCCCCAGGTGTCCTCTTCGCTGACTGTGCCCCAATGCCTGGCACAACATTGCATTTTACACTTCATCATCTGTGTTTTAAGGGGCCATTTGTGTATAATGCAGTAACTAAGTTGAGCTGAACTATTCAGGCAGCAAATTAGGCCCATCTAACATACGTAGTTCTTCAAAAGCTATACCTTTGAATAAGAGTTACATTCAAAATTACATGTAGAAGTTACATATGGAAGAGTTACATTCAATATCAGTTACCAGTTGTAATGAATTAGATAGTTATTTTGAGAATTGTAAGTCAATATAAAGGGCAAATAATATAAAATGCTAGATTAATTACCTTGCTGTAAATCATTTAATAAGTTTAACAATAAGTTATTGTTTATGCATTAACAATAAAATTGTGAGATAGTGAGTGCATGACAAATGTTTGTCATCCCCTTCATATTGGATGGCTGCTGCTTTCCTCCTCCTAAGACATACACTCATGTATTTAAGACCTAAACACATTACCTCTGTTTTCCTGGAAAAAATATTGATAGATTTTGAATTTAAAAATTCGTTTGTAAAATAAACAAAAGATACAGTTTACCTCTTAGTTATTTTTGTAACCATATTATATTTTTGCTAAATTTGTTGATGGTGAATGCTGTGTAGGTATGTTGGCTTTTAATAACCCAGCTATTTTGTAGACAAAAGAAGTAAGTGTGAAAATCATAATATTGACATACATGATTATAAATGCCTTTTTGCCCTTTCTAGATTGTTAACATAGCAAAACATTTTTTTTAAATTATGTGATGCCAAAGATCCATATCTCCATTTGAGACTAATGTTTTAGTAGAATTTGGGGGAGAAAAATCTACAGTTTTTGTCTTGTTGTTCACAGGAAGGGAGGCAATAATAAGTTGATAAAGATCTATCATCGGGATGGTAAATATGGCTTTTCTGATCCTCTGACATTTAATTCTGTTGTGGAGCTCATTAACCACTATCATCATGAATCTCTTGCTCAGTACAATCCCAAACTTGATGTGAAGCTAATGTACCCAGTGTCCAGATACCAGCAGGTATGATTACAGCTCTTGATAGTTACTCTGCAAGTCATTACTTGATTCTGTTTGCCAGGCTTATCAGTTTTTAAATCAAATTGTAAAAAAATGTTCAACTTAAGAGTTTAGATATTTTGGGAAATGATTTTATGTCTATTATTGTGAAAAAGCTTTTAGTGTATGTTTAATGTTATATGAAATATTTCTCTTTTCTTTACCACTTAAACCTTATTTCTTATTTTTAAAACTATTTAATATGATTTGAATGTTGATGGTATTAAAAAGGGTTTAGTACTGTTGCATGCTTAATAATAATAAAACTTAAAAATTAATGGTTGTGGAAAACTCACATCAGAGAATTGTTAACATTCCTATTTCTTTATTTCTCTTTGGCTGAATAGGATCAGCTGGTAAAAGAAGATAACATTGATGCCGTAGGCAAAAAACTACAAGAGTACCACTTCCAGTATCAGGAAAAAAGTAAAGAATATGATAGATTATATGAAGAGTATACCAGAACATCCCAGGTTAGTGTATTTGTGGACTAATGCATTTATCATGCTATAGTTACATCAGATTTTCTGCAATTCACTTGATGATCGTTATGTGTTTTAATATGACAGACTGCAGAGGGTTTGTTGAAAGACTGATGGGCAGGTTAAGTGCTGCTTTTGCTGCCGACATCCCATGGGAGGGTTGTTTCACATCCTGGCTGCTCTGCCTTTGCTCCTGCTCCAGCTCCCTGCTATTCACCTGGGAAAACAATGCAAGAAATCCAAGTATCTGGCCCCTGCCATCCATGGGATAGAGTTTCAGCCTGGCCTCGCCCAGGCTATTGTGGCCGCTTGGGGGAATGAACCAGCAGATGGAAGATTTCTTGTGTGTTTCTCTGTCATTTCTTATCTCTTTGCCTTTCAAATAAATGAGATAAATTTTTAAAAAACTTTCTTTTAAAAAATTGGATTAAAAGATGAGTAAGCAAATTGAATTCCATATATAATTTTCAATATATGTTGTGCATTAATTTTTAAAAAACTGTACATATTTGAAATACAGAGAGAGAGAGATCTTTCATCTGCTGTTTCACTCCCTAAATGGCTGCAATCGCAGGGACTGTGCTAAACCAAAGTCAGGAGCCTTTTCTTGGTCTCATATGTGAGTACAGGCGCCTAAGCACTTGAGGCATCCTTCACTGCTTTCCCTGGATCAGACGTAGGCTCTGGTGCTCATATGGGATGCTGATGCTGTAGTTGGTGGCTTAACTCCCTCTGTCACAGTGCTGGCCCCCATTATCTTTTTTTTTTTTTAAGATTTATTTTATTTTTAGTGGAAAGTAAGATATACAGAGAGGAGGAAAGACATAGGAAGGCCTTTCATCCGTAGATCCACTCCCCAAGCAGCTGCAATGGCCAGAGCTGAGCCAATCTGAAGCCAGAAACCTGGAGCCTCTTCCCAGTCTCAAACACAGGTGCAGGGTCCCAAGGCTTTGGGCCTTCCTCAACTGCCTTCCCAGGTCACAAGCAGGGAGCTAGTTGAGAAGCAGGGCCTCCGTCATTAGAACTGGCATCCACATGGGATCCTGGTGCATGCAAGGCGAGGACGTTAGCGGCTAGGCTGCTGTGCTGGACCAGGCTATTATCTTTTTATTTTTTATTTTTTGGTTTTTGTAATTTTTAAAAAAGATATGTCATTATTGATTTTTTTTAAAATTGGAAAGTCAGATATACAGAGAGGAGAACAGAGAGAGAGAGAGAAAGATCCTCTGTGTGTTGATTCACTCGCCAAGTGGCTGCATTGGCTGGAGCTGAGCTGATGCAAAGCTAGGAGCTTCTTCCGGGTCTCCCTCACAGGTTGCAGGGTCACAAGACTTTGGACTGTCCTCGACTGCTTTTCTAGGCCACAAGCAGGGTGCTGGATGGGAAGCAGGTCCACCGGGATTAGAACCAGCGCCCATATGGGATCCCAGGTGCATGCAAGATGAGGACTTCAGCCACTAGACTACCACTGCCAGACCCTGTTTTTGGAACTTTTGAAGATCTCTGAAAAGCATGGATTTCAAATTTTTTGCTCCAAAAATTCATCTTTTAATCCCATTTTCCATGAAATTTAAAAGTACCCTCCTTTATTTCTTAATCACCTTTTTGAGACTTTGATCATGTAATCCATGCCTTGTTTTTTTAAGATTTATTTTTATTTGTTTGAAAAGCAGAGTTACAGAGAGAGAGAGAGAGAGAGAGAGAGAGATAGAGAGAGAGAAGAAATAGCAAGGGAGATTGTCCACCTGCTGGTTTACCTCCTCAAAGACCTCAATGGCCACAGCTGGGTGAGGCTGAAGCTAAGAGCCAAGAACCAGGAGCTTCATCCAGGTCTTACCTGTGGGTACAGGGACCGAAGCACCTGAGCCATCCTCTGTTGGTTTTCTAAGTACATCAGTAGTGAGCTGGATTGGAATTGGAGCAGCTGGGACTTGAACCAATGCCCTATGGGGTGTTGGTCTTCAGGTGATAGATTTATCAGTTATGCCACAGTGTTGGCCCCAACTTCCTTATTCTTAAATCAGTATATATTTTAAAAATTAATATGATTTATATCAATGTTAACTGATTGCAAGTGATAAAATAACAAAAGCTTCGGTTAGACATTTTCTTTCATGAGTATAAGTAGTAGGGAGAAATTATGGCACATCCGGCTGTTAGGACTTCAGGCGTCTTCTATCCTGATGCTTTGGTGTTTGTGAAGGTCACTTACTCTAAGATCAGCTGTGACAAGCAAGCAGGAAAGAACTTGTTTTCTGTGTTCAAGGCAGCTTCCTAGAGGGGGCACACATTCCTTTTATCTGTATGCCACTGGTTAGAACTTGGTCATATGGTCAGACTTTTTGAAAAATGATCAGCTGTGCTCAAGAGAAGCAAATGCCTGGAGGCTGTGGGAACACTAATAGTCTCAGCCACATAATTTTTATATCACTAACTTTAATAACCAGTGATAATTATTTTATAGTATTTGTGATGTACAGCAAGATTCTCTTAAATAAAACAATCTACTTCTTATTTTGTCATTGCTTTTTTTTTTTTCAATTGGTTTGGCTTCATTTGCCCTTAGTTGTTACTTAGTTTATGGACAGTGTTGGGAATTTGGATGAAGGTAGAAGTCTTGAGGAAAGTTTATCCTTTATAATATTTGGGTTATGCTAGCCTAAGAATATAATTGATCACATTTCTCATGGACATTGCCTTGAAACAGGTCATTACTTTGAACATTAAATAATCTATGAAAGCATTAATCCATGTTGATTCTACTAAATTAAATTCCATGTGAATTTTCATAGCAGTGGCTGGATTCTCAGTCCTAGTAATGATGATGATGAATTATTTTTAGCATCTGTTTTCTGTTTTATAGATTTCTGAATTTCTCTTTATTATTTCCTTTCTTCTGCATTCTTTTAGTTTCATTTGTCTTTTTAATATTATTCATGTGGGAGTTTTATTTATTGGCTTAAAAGTTTTATTATTTAAAGCTATGAATTTTCCACTAATCAATGTTATAGGTATACTTCACAAATTTTGTTATACTATATTTTCATTCTGGTATAAATATACTCTTATTTTTGTATTTCTTCTTGTTGTGTATGGTATTTACTTACTTAGTTTCTAAAACTGATTTATTTCAAAGGCGGTGAGACAGAGATGAAGGTGTTCCATCCTTTTACTCCCCAAATTTGCACAGGCTTAAGCCTAGTTGCCGGCAGTTCCATGTAGACCTCACACACGGGTGGCAGGAATCAACCATTTGCATGTTAGCAGAAGCTGGATCAGGAATGGAGCCCGGCTTTGTGAGCTCAGGATGTGACCATCGCAAGTGGCATCTGAACTGCTGTGCCAGATGCCTCCCCTTTTCATGCATTCATTTTTTTAATTGTACTTGAAACAGCAAGAGAAAGCCATGCAAAATAAAATCTAGTCCTTTGGGATTTGTTATGCTGTTTTTTTCTAATGTAATTTTATTGGTAGTTAATATATTGGTTAATCTGTAGTCTTTTGACCTTTATTGCCTTGTTTGATGAGCTAGTGTATGCCTGTCTTGGTAAAGTTTCCATGTGTGCGGATGAAGACTGTATTCTGCAGTTGTCTGTATAGTGTTCTATAAATGTCAGTTAGGTCATCATAGTTGGTAGTATTATTCAGGTATTCTGTGGTCTTATTTGTTAATTGTTCTGGTGTTCTGGTGATTATTAAAAAGGATTATTTTTCTGTTCTGTCAGTTTTTGCTTTATATATATTGAGATTCTATTATTGTTAGGTACTTATACATTTTTTTGAGTGTAACAATATGATATAATTCTCTCTATGTCTGAAGATTCTCCTGTCCTGAGGCTTATCTTGATAAGTGCCCCCCATCTCTCATATGCTGATTTTTGCATGAGATACGTATTTCTGTTCTTTTACTTTTAGTCTACTATCTGCATCTCTTAAAGACAGCTTATAATTGAGACTGGTCTTTAAAAGAATGTAGCCTGGAAGTCTTTACCTATCATTTGCAGTGTATAATGTATTTGTACTCGTATTTCTTGTACTTAATTTAAAAGGGCTGGATTTATAGATATTATTTGTCATTTGTTTTTATTTGTGCACAAGTATTCAGTTCTTTATGTCTTCGCTAAGGCTTGTGATTTTGTTACGTTTACTTTGTGTGTGTGTTTACTTTTTTTTCCTTAAGAAAGAGCCACCCTAGTAGTTTTGATGGTGGAATCTTTGTTTTTCTTTGGTGTTAGGAGTTTCTAAATATGTTCTGATATTAATCTTGTATCAGTTCTATGATATGTAGATATTTTCTCATTCTGTAGTATGCCTGTTTTGCTTTCTTGATAGTATTATTTGCTTCTTTAAAGTTTTCCACTTGGATGAAGTGCAGTTTTATTATTTTTCTCTTGTTGCATTTGCTATTGATTTATTTGTGAAATTGAAACTGTTATCAAGATCAGTGTCATAAAGATTTTTCCTATGCTCACTTACAATAGTGTGTACATTTCAGTTTTTAAAAAATTTTTTATAATTGGAGAGGCTGAGAGAAAGAGAGAGCTCCCATTTGCTAGTTCCCTCAAGTGCCTGCAACAGTTAAGGACTGACCAGGTGAACCCAGGAGTCAGGAATTCCATCTGAGTTTCTCAAGTGAGTGGCAGGAACTGAACTATAGGAACCATCTCCTTTGCATCCCAGGTGTGTTAGCAGGAAGCTCAATTGAAAGTGGAGGCGGGGCAAGATGTGGGATGTGGATGTTCCATGCAATAGTTTGGCTCTTTTAACTAGCTAAGCATTTGGCAGGATTTTTTTTCTTATGGTGTTTTCAAATAACTTAATTTTGGTTTTGTTCTCTTCCTTCCTTCCTTCCTTCCTTCCTTCCTTCCTTCCTTCCTTCCTTCCTTCCTTCCTTCCTTCCTTCCTTTCTTTCTTTCTTTCTTTCTTTCTTTCTTTCTTTCTTTCTTTCTTTCTTTCTTTCTTTCTTCTTTAAATCTTTGTTTTATGTATCT